ATTCATATTTACAAATTTACCCACAATTGGGTGCAAGATATTAAAGCCCATTTAGACTAGCCCACTTAACTTTTCAGCCCATATCTAAATTCAAGCCCAAATAAAAAATACCGAACAACAAGCTTTTGTCTCTCAACTTTGGATCTCTCAACCTGATACGAAGACGAAGCTGAACTCAACTCGAGAGTTGGCTGCTTTATAGCTACGCGGGCCAACTTCTTTTTGCTTTTGGAGCGAAGTCTTAGAACTCCCAAAACTCATTCTTACAGAGCTTTAGATCGATCCCACATCACCAAAACCCCTGTACTTCAACCAAGGATGTTTAAAAAGTAATATTGCTTTCAATTTTAATACTCTTTTTTTTTTTTTTTTGGTTGTTTTTACTTGTTTTGGCAATATGATTGTGATATAGAGGTTCCTATGCGGGTGTCGGTTTGTTTTTTCACCTGGGTTAGATTGTTTATTCTTATTGGTTTGGGGTTGATTGTAATTGTAGTGATGAATTTATGAGGACAAGTATCATTTTTGTTTTTGTTTTTATGTTAATGCTGGCTGTTAATTTACTTGCAAGACGAAGTTATGGATTAATTACTTGATAATTGTTTATGTGTTGATGGTTTATTATGTTGCGTAGGTGCTAATCTGTTTTTGGTAATTTAATCTAGTGATTTTTGTTTGTGTCAAAGTTTGATTTTCTGCTAATTGTGTTGCATTTGGTGCTGACCTTTTGAAATTGGAATATAATGCATGTATTTGAGGAGGAATTTGTTTGCACTTGGTGTAAAATTTGGTGTGAGATGAATATTGTAGGATTAATTCTTTTGCTGATCATACTGTTGAATTAATTACCTTTGCCTCTGTTTAATGCGTGCCAAATTTTATGCTAATTGGGTTTCAAGAATCATTGTCTTCAGACCGTATTATTACCGATGGACTAAATACTCTTACACTTGGTGTAAGAGTGTGGTGATTCACAAGAAGCGTAGAGGCTATTCATATTATTTATGTAAATTAGTTTATGTCAACCGCTGGTGGATGTGTTATGTTTGGGGTGTTTTGTGCACTATTAGCAACTTTTTTTTTGGTTGATGTTTGAAGTTGGCTATTCTAAGATTTGTAAAGACCTAGACTGCTTTTCCTCCTTTGTCTTCATATGTGCGACGATTAATTCGCTTAAATATATATATGATTGCTTCTATTAGTAAAAATTGTAACCTGTTATTTACTATATGTACTTCATTATCGTGTAGGTTTTCATCTGAAGAAGTTTCCTCACAGAACCAAGTCAAGGCATCTGTCCAGCGCAAAATTCGCCAAAGCATTGCAGATGAGGTCATATTGTTATTGTTCTGGTTTCTTTATTCTGCTTCTAATAATTTAACAGTCGGATTCTATTTTTCTCTTGATATCTTTATTCAATAAAAATTTGCATTTCAAGTGCAGTACCCAGGACTTGAGCCAGTGTTGGATGATTTGCTTCCAAAGAAGTCACCTTTAATTGTTTGTAAATGGTGTGTAACTTTGTTGCTTCTGCTTCTACAATTACTTATTAGGTCAACTGTTCTTTTTGTGATATTAGTTTCCGGTGCATCTGCAGTATGTTTCTTAACATTCTTCCCCTATTCCTTGCAGTCAAAATCATCTGAATCTGGTTCTAGTGAATAACGTTCCATTGTTTTTTAATATTCGTGATGGACCTTACATGCCTACCCTACGACTCCTCCATCAATGTAAGCTATTGCTTTATCAACAATATTTGTTATCTCATAATTGCATTTTTTTTTCAATATTAATCATTCTATTATTCATTGCATGTTCTTAATTCAGTAACATGATGGTTCTGATTCTTATATGTTTGGAGGAAATTCTTCGTGAATGACAAGGAGGAACATGTAAATGATTTTCTATCTCCATATGTACACAAAACAATTTTAATGTATGTACAAATTTTGGAAATTGATGAAAAGTAGAAACTGCTATGAACAAATTTATTGATAATCATGTTTATGGTTCAGATAAGCATATTGGTGTATAATTTGCCTTTTAGTTTGTTCTAGATATGTTAGACAACAAGATAAGTGTTAACTTTGCCTTTTTGGTAGTTCTCGAATTGTTAGACAAAAAGATTAGCTAGATTGTGAAATCGTTGTGCCTGGGTCCTCAGCTGAGTCATCCACTGATGTATCCTCATGAAAGGTATCCATAAGCCTTTTGGATAAATTCAAAGTTGCTAAGCATATTATTTTTACTTTGCTTGGAAGGAGAGAAATAAGAGGGAAGGAATTAGGGTAGAAAAAAAAAAAAAAATAGAGGGGAAACCAATACTGCTGTTTTGTTAGGATATATTTGTAGGAAGGGGCAAGGATGTGGCAACTGTCCAATCCACTAATTCTACGTTTCTATAGATTGGAGGAAGAGGGATGTAATCTGCTAGGCAACTGAGCAAAGATAGTCAATCTATTTTTTTTTTACTTGTCTTTGAAGAAGTTTTACATATAATGTTTAGATTTTTCTCCTGGCTGCTCATGCTCAATCATACCTCTTCAGTTATGAGTTTGAACTGCATCTAAGATTTCAACTCTTTCAGACATTGTTCTTCATTGCTACTCTGTCATGTAGCATCTCTGAAAAGTTATTCTGTCTTGTGAGTTGGCCTCACTGTTATGGAAATTCAAGTTGCAGAATATTTACTGTTTTGTATTCTTGGTTTACAGATCCAAATATAATGAAAAAACTACAAGTAGACAGGGGTGCGATAAGATTTGTCCTTGCTGGTGCAAACATAATGTGTCCTGGTCTTACATCTCCTGGTGGTGCTTTGGATGAGGAAGTGGAAGCAGAAACTCCTGTGGTACATACAGTCCTTCTCTGTTTCTGGGTTTATGTTACTTTGCATTAAGTTGCACTGTTTTCTGTTCTAATATGAGAGTGGTGACATATTTTGTTTTCTTTATGATGTCCAAAATGGATACTTTCAGGCCATAATGGCCGAGGGAAAGCAGCATGCTCTTGCTATTGGATTTACAAAGATGTCAGCAAAGGACATGTAAGTTGTCAAACCTTTCATTAGTATTATTCTTTTAACTAAATGATGTGTCAAGCTGGGTATTCAGATTTCCATTTTCCTTTCTTGTTACTAGAAGAATAATGAAAGCATAACATGACCTAGCCACGACTCTTGTGAACAGCATGCGCAGGGACAAATTAATATGCCTTCGTTTTCCCTTAATTCTGGTCTGTATATTAATAGATTCAACTTATTATCTTGTCTTACAGAAAGGCAATTAACAAGGGCATTGGAGTAGACAATATGCATTATCTCAATGATGGTCTTTGGAAGGTATGTCAACACCACACTTACAGAAAGCCCTATCATACTGCAAAGATCTTAGTTTCTTCTTTTGAAATGAAAATTCCATATGATCTTTCGAGAAAAAGTACGAATACTCAAGCTTTACATAATTTGTATTGCAGATGGAACGTCTAGATTGAGGACATGCCGGCCGCAGCTGCAGTTCCATCCATGTAACAGATAAAGAAAAAACTTGAAGTTATTTGTTTTATCTTTCTGCTGCTTTTTTTTGTTTTCCTTTTCTCTCAAACTGTTTGTATCCGGCTGAAGCAGTTAAGAACATTTCACCATATGTTGTTTCCATTTTTCCCCTTGATATAGTAGAGGATCGTTCTATCAAGTTATCGCGCAATTTTTTTTTTTTTTTTTTTTTTTTTTTTTTTTTTTATAGCTCGGTAAGTTTTCCATTTTGTGGACAATCTAGAGATGTTATTTCATGGAATTGATGCGTTCGGTTTACTCGAAAATGGGATAATTTGATATGATAAATGTAGCATGGGAAGTGCTTCTATATAAATACTCTTTGCATATTGTTCAATGAATTTCCCAAAACATAAAAAGTAAAAAAATAATATAAATTTCAGTAATTATATAATAGCTTATTTAACCAATATTTTAATAATCAATCAGAGGTGGGACCCGGCAAAGTTGCCTAGTTCCAAGTTGACCGGTTTAACCAAGTTGACCGGTTTAATCGGTTTGACCAACAGGTCAAACCAGTTGTTAAAAAGTTTAAAATTACTTAAGTTTTACAGGTTTGAAATTTAGCAAACACACCTCAAATATAAACCTAAGGTAAACTGATTGGCAGCGACAACACACCAAATGCAATCTTAATCATCCCTTGAGTCCATTCCCTATAAAATCTATCCAAGATTTAACCGAAATCGGTTTGATTTTGGGTAGATATCATAGATGTCGGTGTCGACATTCCATGCCAGATCTTACCATCGTCGGCATCGACAACCTTCCCCATCACCATAAAAATACTCCCCTCAGTCTCTTGACTAAAACCCATCTCATCTTATCCCTGTTTATCTGACCAATAGTCGGTTGTTACTGCTGTCGGTTTTTTCTGATTTTCGATCGATTCACTTACTAGAAATCACCTCCATTGCCACCATTGCATTCACCGATACTTTATCTTTAAAAGCCCCAACATCCCAGCCTTCAATTGTTCGCTGATCATCATCCCAATTTTTAGGGTTTTCGGTGAATATGGAAATGGGAAAGCCACGGGTCTTGATTGTATCAGTTTAATTGGTTGGCCTAAGGCGGGTTTTAAAACACAATATCTAATCATCAATAAACATTTCTTATCGATATGACCTCGCAATGTTTTTTACGATTAAAAATAATAAATTACCCTAAATTATCTTATAAGTTTCTAAATCATGAAATCTGTATAAAATTTTCTTTTATGTTCTAAAATACTAATAATAAATCTAATAAAATCAACAAGAAAAATTTATAAATTATAGAAATTATTAAAAAAAAAAAATAAAATAACAGCTAAGCAAACCCTCAATGAAATTCAATTAATTGTGGGCTTGGCCCAATCTAAGGCCCATAAAATTGAAGATCGAAAAAGCCCAATAAAAAAGAGGAAACACACAAAACCCAGCCTATAAAATGACACGCTTAAAACCCTACCTTCATTTTAGTTCTCGCACAACACAGTCTCAGCAGCCGCGCCATCTAGCAGAAGAGCTGTCGACATGGTCTCTTCATATCTCATTGTCTTTAGATTCATCTACCCAATTCACATAACCAATTAATTTAACTAACTGACTAACTATCTCCGTTGTTGTTTCTGTTTCAGGGGATCGATCTGGTCGCAGGAGGTAAGAGCAAGAAGTCCAAGAGGACTGCCCCTAAGTCCGATGATATTTATCTTAAGCTCCTCGTAAAGGTATCTTGTTTTTTCTGTACCCTTGGTTTTCTGTTTCTTTGCTTATGTTTTTACTGGCTTACTGCTGTGGGGTTTTAAATTTTTTTTTTTTTTTTTTTTTTTAATTTGGGGGTTTATTGTGGTAATAGTTGTACCGATTTCTCGTAAGGAGGACAGATAGTAACTTCAATAAAGTGATATTGAAGAGGCTGTTCATGAGCAAGGTCAACAAGCCCCCACTATCTCTCTCTAGGCTCAGTCGCTTCATGAAAGGAAAGGTTGATCTCTCTCTCTCTCTATCTCTCTCTCTCACACATTTCATTTTATATATTTTGTTTCATTGATTTTGCAATTAAAGGAACAGACCGACAAATTTCGCTTTCAAAAATGTTTAGATAGTGTGCTAAATATTTTTTTAGAACTAGTTTTCAGCTTTGAAATATCTTTTTAAATAAGATTTGGAAAAGATTTATATATTCTATGCAGTTAGCATGTGTTATGATGTGGGTTGTCTTTAGATCTTAGTAATTTTGTGAGAGTAATGCTGGGTTTTGGTTTTTGAATTGATAGGAGGGGAAGATTGCAGTTGTCGTGGGAACAGTGACCGATGACATTAGGGTTTATGAGGTGCCAGCAATGAAGGTAACTGCTCTGAGGTTTACTGAGACAGCTAGAGCAAGGATTGAGAAGGCCGGTGGAGAGTGCTTGACTTTCGACCAACTTGCTCTCAGGTGCCCATTGGGACAGAACACGGTATGTGCTGTAATATGTTTTGCGTATTTGTATTACTTGCTGACTATGTGATATAATGTCTTGATTATTGTAAGTTCCTTGTGTTAGCTTTATAAATCAGTAATGTGCCCATGTGGTATAGGTGCTAGAATTAGGGAAACATTTCTTGATCAGTTGACACAGTTCATTGAATATTGCATAGCCTTGATTTGTTATCATTAACCTGTTTATTCGTTGTGCTCCTAATACTTTGAAACTGTTCCCTTTGATCTATAAGGGAAGCAAACTGTCCCGCTGTTTATTGATACTAATGTCATAGAATTTCCACTGACTTGTTATCAGTGAATTCTTTGAACTAGGGTTGTACACTAAATGATAATGCTTCCAAATTGTAGCATGTCACTTCATCATTTACTTATTTTGATCAAATCAGGGAAGCAAACCGGCTCCTTGTTTCTGTACTATTGATATTGCAAATGTACTGGCTTTCTATCAGTAAATTCTTTGAACCAGTGTTTTACGCCACATGATAATACTGTCCTTGATGTTTTTGGTTTTCCTGAATTGTGTCTTTCCCATCGAGTCTCTATTACTTTTGGAAGAGAAAGTATGTTGAAGTAGGTTGTGAGATTTTATCCTATTTCCAGAAAATATGTTGACGTAGATTGAGAGTTCTTATTGTTTTTTTTTTTGCATCTACAGGTGCTTCTCAGAGGTCCAAAGAATGCTCGTGAAGCAGTGAAGCACTTTGGTCCAGCTCCTGGCGTGCCACACAGCCATACCAAACCCTATGTTCGGTCCAAGGGAAGGAAGTTCGAGAGGGCTAGAGGAAGGAGAAACAGCAGGGGATTCAGAGTTTAAGTTGAACTTAGTGTTTAATTGTTTGGGAGAATTGTTATTTCTTACTGTTGCAATCAAAATTTTGCTAGACTTACATTTAGGTATTTGTGGGTGGTTCTTTACTCAACATATTCTTCCTGTTGGTTTAAGTTCTATGCTTATGGATGCCTGGTTTGAGATACGATTTTAGTACTTTATATGAATCAGTGTTTTTTAAGTAGTAAATTGTTGGTTCTTGGTCTTGGACTCATTTAATATAGAATTTTATGGAGATTTTGGGTGGTGTCGCCATCATGTTTAATTTTTCAACATTCACTTAGGTGAGTACATCAATTTTTGAACATGTGGAAGGCAATTTCCAAATGGGTATTGAAGATCAATCCTCAGTGCGAGCTGTAATCACTAAACAGTGAAGGAAACCTATAAAAAACCAATTCTCCAATGGCACTCAAAGATGAGATACTAGACCTTTGTCACGCCCGGCCATTCTCAAAGATAATTCTGGTAGTCCCTTTTGACAGTTTTTGAAGACCTATAAAAGGGTATTGTAAAGGACTGATTTGAGGAGGAGCAATTGCTCATTTGCTGGCCAAATGGTTGGTATTCACAATTTGTATTCAATAATTTTACCTGCAATTTTAGGGGTTCGAAACTCACTAGAAGCAACTTGTGGCCGAGGGCATCCCACGAGGATTAGTTTAACTAAATCCTTGTTACTTCTGCCCATTCACAAATAACATATTTCTGATAGAAAACCATTGACAATTTCTGAAGATCAGTTAAGTAAACCCTTATCATGTTGGACAATTCATAAAGATAAGTTAGGTCGACCCTTAACAATTGGCTCAGGTTTCCAGTCGATTGGACCCAAACCTATAAAAGGGTATTGTAAATTTTGGTCGTTGCTATTTTATTGCGGAGATAACAAATTTTTTAAGACAATACATCGATGTATGTACTGCATTCGAAATTTGTGGGAACTGGATTTGTTGTGTTCACCTCGATAATCTCTTTCTCACTGTTACATCAACAAACAAACTATTGCTATCAATACCGACAAAAGGTATTTCTTATAATTACTTTTAAGTGATTTGACGGTTCACTTGGGACTTTTAAATGTATTATTCAAGAGGTCTTGAATTCGAATCCCCACAACTACTAATAAGAGGTAACTACTGGAGACTTACCTGGTTATTAACTTCAGGGCTTCAGAGGAATAATTGAGGTGCATACAAACTGGTCCGAACACCCCTCGATACCAAAAAAAAAAAAAAAAAAAAGGTATTTCTTATTCTTATTTTCTAATTTAATTGAATTCATTATTAATAATTATTAATCCTTTACTTTCACGTTGTTTTTGATATCTTAATTTCGTTATATTATCGTTAAATTTATAAAACACTTTCTTATCAGACTAAAATTATTATTTTACCCTTTTAGTACTATTGACAACATAACAAAGACAAGGCAAATGGGTATTAGTAATACAATTTTCAAACTTTGGGGTTGTATTTGATAAAAAAATACAAAAGTTTCTTATCCGAATGAGAAATTTGAAGAGCTTAAGGGTAGTCTAATATTATCCCAAAAGTTTTTGTTTGACCAAATAAACAGCCAGAATTTTTCCTGAAAAGGTTGATCTTGTAATCACCAAGTGTCCAAGACCCAAATAAACACTTTAATTTGTGGCAAAGCGCTTCTCTCTTGCAAGAATGGTTGAAAATGAACAGATATGCTTTTCTCACCTCTACAAATACCCTCTTGCACAAGAAAACAAAAACCATGAAATCATTTGACAATATAACTCCATCAAAACAATGAACCCTTCTTCAATATCCCATTTTGTTCTTCTTGTCATTAGCTTATTGCCAAACCAAATTTTATGCCGGGATCAATCACTTGAAGGCATTGATTTGATCACCAAAACATGCGAACATACAAGGTTCAGGACTCTCTGCATAGCGGCTCTAACATCAGATACAGAGAGCAAATCAACTAATCTCCATGGTCTTGCAGAAATTTCTCTGAAGATCGCCTTGTCGAATGCTAGTGAAACACACGATTACATCTCAGAATTGGCGGGGAAAACAAAGGACAAATACATGCAACAATGTCTAGAAGATTGCTCGGAGAACTACAGGCAAGCAGCTCTGCAAATTGAAGACTCCATGAAGGCTTTAAGTTCTAAAGGTTATGAAAATGTCAAGACTTGGGTTAGTGGCGCCATGAGCAATGCAGAGTCCTGTCAAGAGGGTTTCCATGGAAAAAGAGGCTACAAATGCCCATTCAGTATGATGAACAAGTTCTTCAGCCAGCTCTGTAGCATCTCTTTATCCATCACAAATCTATTCGATTAAATGTATTGGGAAGTACCAAATTTGCTTTTGTGAAAGCAAATTTTTTTTCATCAGTTCTTGGAATTCATCCTTCAGATTAATGACACAGTTTTGTTAGGTAATATATGAAACATTCATTACAGCTAAAATATTAACCACATTGTAATTTTCCTATGTTAATTAAAGTCTGGCCTTTTGGGTTAAAGCAGCATTTTTTATCTTATTTTTGTACTGCAAATTTTGACAGAAAGCTAGAATCTAGATCAAGAAGTAAATAACCCAGAAAATTTTCTCGAGAAAATGTTATCCAATAACATTGGAGCACATGTCCATGTGATTTTCTTGACAGAAAAAAGTGACAAGGCTCAAGCAGAAAGGATAGAGATTTTGTTATATGCACACATAAAATCTTAAAACCATGATATGGGTTTTCAAGAAGAACTATGTGCAACATTGAAAGACAAATCTAGATAATGTTGTTAAAATGGTTTAAGAAAACTACAATCTTGTAAGAGATTGTAAGAAGAAGACCATAACTAAGGAAAAAAGTTGACTCAAATTTTGTAAGAAGAAGACTATGAAGATGGAGGCCTCTAAGATTTGAGTCTAAAACCCTAGGAAGCCAAACCCTTTTATAGAGGAATTTGAGACTATTAATAAGACTATAGTACCCTTTATCTATTCATATGACAATAATGCCCTTGTTTACTTTTTTTGTCTTCTCTTCGTAGGTATTTATCAGTAATTTAATCCAGATTTATATACCATTAAAACATTAATGANATTTTACCCTTTTAGTACTATTGACAACATAACAAAGACAAGGCAAATGGGTATTAGTAATACAATTTTCAAACTTTGGGGTTGTATTTGATAAAAAAATACAAAAGTTTCTTATCCGAATGAGAAATTTGAAGAGCTTAAGGGTAGTCTAATATTATCCCAAAAGTTTTTGTTTGACCAAATAAACAGCCAGAATTTTTCCTGAAAAGGTTGATCTTGTAATCACCAAGTGTCCAAGACCCAAATAAACACTTTAATTTGTGGCAAAGCGCTTCTCTCTTGCAAGAATGGTTGAAAATGAACAGATATGCTTTTCTCACCTCTACAAATACCCTCTTGCACAAGAAAACAAAAACCATGAAATCATTTGACAATATAACTCCATCAAAACAATGAACCCTTCTTCAATATCCCATTTTGTTCTTCTTGTCATTAGCTTATTGCCAAACCAAATTTTATGCCGGGATCAATCACTTGAAGGCATTGATTTGATCACCAAAACATGCGAACATACAAGGTTCAGGACTCTCTGCATAGCGGCTCTAACATCAGATACAGAGAGCAAATCAACTAATCTCCATGGTCTTGCAGAAATTTCTCTGAAGATCGCCTTGTCGAATGCTAGTGAAACACACGATTACATCTCAGAATTGGCGGGGAAAACAAAGGACAAATACATGCAACAATGTCTAGAAGATTGCTCGGAGAACTACAGGCAAGCAGCTCTGCAAATTGAAGACTCCATGAAGGCTTTAAGTTCTAAAGGTTATGAAAATGTCAAGACTTGGGTTAGTGGCGCCATGAGCAATGCAGAGTCCTGTCAAGAGGGTTTCCATGGAAAAAGAGGCTACAAATGCCCATTCAGTATGATGAACAAGTTCTTCAGCCAGCTCTGTAGCATCTCTTTATCCATCACAAATCTATTCGATTAAATGTATTGGGAAGTACCAAATTTGCTTTTGTGAAAGCAAATTTTTTTTCATCAGTTCTTGGAATTCATCCTTCAGATTAATGACACAGTTTTGTTAGGTAATATATGAAACATTCATTACAGCTAAAATATTAACCACATTGTAATTTTCCTATGTTAATTAAAGTCTGGCCTTTTGGGTTAAAGCAGCATTTTTTATCTTATTTTTGTACTGCAAATTTTGACAGAAAGCTAGAATCTAGATCAAGAAGTAAATAACCCAGAAAATTTTCTCGAGAAAATGTTATCCAATAACATTGGAGCACATGTCCATGTGATTTTCTTGACAGAAAAAAGTGACAAGGCTCAAGCAGAAAGGATAGAGATTTTGTTATATGCACACATAAAATCTTAAAACCATGATATGTGTTTTCAAGAAGAACTATGTGCAACATTGAAAGACAAATCTAGATAATGTTGTTAAAATGGTTTAAGAAAACTACAATCTTGTAAGAGATTATAAGAAGAAGACCATAACTAAGGAAAAAAGTTGACTCAAATTTTGTAAGAAGAAGACTATGAAGATGGAGGCCTCTAAGATTTGAGTCTAAAACCCTAGGAAGCCAAACCCTTTTATAGAGGAATTTGAGACTATAATACCCTTTATTTATTCATATGACAATAATGCCCTTGTTTACTTTTTTGGTCTTCTCTTCGTAGGTATTTATCAGTAATTTAATCCAGATTTATATACCATTAAAACATTAACAAATCAATTGTATAGGAGGAGAGCCTGGACTAAGATAAACCTATCACCATGTTGATCCGTTATCATAGTTTTCTATTGATCAGCTATCTTTATATAGATCAATTATCATAGTTTTCTACACTAATAACCTTTTAAAACTATTTCTAGAAGATCAATACTTCTTTTTTTTTTGGACCGAGGGTCTCTAGATCAATTTGATGACCAGATAAACCCCTTAATAATTACCTCTATTAGCTCCTATAAAACCTCGAACTCAAAAACTCATAAAACCTTTTTTTGCTATTTTACTATCAGACCGCCATATGTTGATTAAGATTCTTGAAAAAGTTTAATCAAGGTTGGAGACAATTTCATTAACCAAATATCAAATTTCAATTGCTGGGTATTGAAGGTCATAGGTACTTGTGAATCTAAAAGAAAATAAAATTTCACCAAATATCCATCATAAATAAGAAATTACTTTAAATTATTTGTTCTCATCTTGTTAAAAACAAGAACAAAACACACCACATATCCACATGAACCATCAATAAATAAAAAATGTTTAACATTAAGCACCAATGGATGATACAGTTGATCCAAAGTTCCATGAAAGTTTAAGAATTGAAGGATGCACCAATGTAACACATTACAATACCTGAAACAGAAACTCTCACCCCAACTGTCGTAAAAGTTCAAGACTCTAATTTAACAAAGTTCCTAAATTTCTCATAAATCTATAAATGTGACTCCAAGCTTAATGACCTAGTCATCCGGGAAGACATGATCGTTCTTCTGAGATGAACTAGCTAGCTCCTCTGTATGCTGTTGTACACTTCTTGGTTCTATAGATTTGACACACACCATTTGCTCAATCAAAGCTTGCATTCAAGAATTTCAGCAACTCGTTTCTTTTATTTTCTGCAGCTTTATCCTCCTTCGATTTATCAAGTTTTAATAGAATCTACAAGGAAAACGAATTAAAACTTCTTAATCACGGATTTCTATAAATCAAATAATACATACAATCATTCAGGACTACAATAGTGGAAAAGGAGCATAATTACCTTTTTTCCAGAGACAGCACTTCGACGGACTCCATCGTCTTTGTCACGTCCTAAAAACTGTTGATTAAATAAAAAAGGTTAAGGCAAATGTAAAGCAACACAAACTAGGAATTTCAGATGATTAAGCACCAAAGTGAAGTTGCAATAAAATACCTTTGATAGCTGTACAGGGCCTCTACTTCCCTCATCCTGCTCCTCCTATATATGGCTCCCATTGCCAGCACAAACCGGACCCAGAAACAAAATCCAGGCAAGTAAATAGCACCCAGTCATCATGTCACAGACCCCAGCTCCAATTCGAAGAGCCAATCCATAAAACAGGCAGAAAGTATCATAAGCACCTCAAATATTGATATATCATATAGGTATATACTATCAAACAATGTAAAAGCCATAATAAATTGCTAAATGCCTTGCACAAGCCAAGCTAAAACAGGTGAATCAAAACTGCTGGACACATGGAAAATTATTAATGATAATGCAGCAGGATGGAAACAGAAGAACACAAAATCATAAAGTAAACTACACTACTAGCACACAAAGTTCCCAAAGACAATTTCCATTCCTTTTATTCATAACAGTCAGCAAATTTTTTGTTTTGATTCATCAACCAAGAAGTCTTTTCATTCAATGATATAGAAGACACACAGATGCACAATGAGAATGGTGTTTGATAATCCGAATGAATGTAGAAGGCTAAAGAGAGTATTGGCCTACCTCTTTAACTTTATGCTTATGCCGTTTGTGGCGATGACTCTTGCTCTTGTCCTTTTCTTTAGTCTTGAGGACAAAGGAAAAACAAAGTGAGAAACATAGACAAGAAATTTCAAATTGAGAACAAAAAATGGAACATCAAACAACTACCTTCTTTGGTCTGTCACTCTTCTTATGCCTCTTTGCGTGACTTTCATGCTCACTATCAGAACTCTCACTCCTAAAACCCAAAACCAGAGATAGATGTAAAATTATAAATGAAAAGGAATTGTAAAACTCAATTTTCTACTGCTTAAAACCATTTTTTCACCAACATCAAGATCACATTTTATCACAAATGGTTAGTCATTCTACCATATCAAGACAGTGGAATACAGAAGAGGACTAGTCTTTTCCTTGATCCAAAATTGTCCATCCTTAATCAATTGTTTACAGACATCCAGTACATATGCTATAAAACTTCCCACTAATACTAAAATATGCACAGCCTAGTACCAAAAACAACAAATTGCACCCACATAATTATACGAAATCAAACTGTTCAGGACTCTTCTTATTCTAGGCACCTGAAACATAACATATATTTTCAAAACTTTCTTTCCTCTGTGTCATCTATCGCAATAACAATCCATATATCAATTCTAATAAACACAACACAGTAAAGCCAAGCACAAATAACAATATTTAACAATATTAAAAACGTAATTTAAAAATTATGTAGAAGCCACCTAGTTCTCAAGATAAAAATTTTACACATACATGAAGTACCCTCAAGTTCTAAACTATAGAATCACAATTTTTTAAGGCATAAAGCAAAAACACCCAGAATTTTGTTTTTAAATATCAATATCAACAACTTAATTTAGAAAGTTATGCAGAAGTCACCAATTATTTCAAGCTAAGAATTTTTTTACATCCATATAAAAAGCCCATCAAGATCAAGCCGTAAAACCCCAATTTTTAAGCCCAAAAAACAAAAAACGCAGAAAAAATAATTCACAAATACCGAACCTGGAGGAATCAGATTGGGAGGAATCAGATTCCGAAGAATACTTGTGGTGTCTGCGACGCCTTTTCGTGTGTGACCGGGACTTTTTACGAATCTTAAGAGACTCCCTATCTCTATCCTTTTCGCGGCGGAGATTTCGGCGGCGACGACGACGGTGGGATGACGATGACGTATCAGAGGACGACGAACCTGAGGAGAACGACGACACAGAAGACGATGAAGCCGCCATGTAAGAGAAATTTAGAGAAGGGTTTGGGGGAGATTTGGCAGTTTCGTTTTATAACGTATATTAGAAACGCTGTCTAAATCCACGAGTTGTGTAAAAGCAACAACTTGAGTAGCGCATTTTACATAATCTAAAGCTTTTTCTCCTTTTATTTTTTTTAAATAAACGACATGTCGGTTGTTTATAGCAGGAGTGCAGGGCCAGACATTCACTGTCCTTGTCGATAAACGACATTAATTAAGAAACTGAAATATATAATAATTAAAAAAATAAATATAAATTTTTCAATTGCATTGATTCGTATAAAATATTCATTAAATAAATAAATAAAGATAATAAATTGCTCGATTATGTTACAAAATCCGATCAGTTGTCCGGCGGTGGAGCCTTTACACGTTGAACGGCCACTGCATTCCACGGAGCCTTTACACGTTGACCCGCCACTGCATTCCACGGAGCCTTTGCACGTTGACCCGCCACTGCATTCCACGGAGTCCTTACACGTTGACCCGCCACTGCATTCCTTGGAGCCTTTGCACGTTGACCCGCAACTGTATTCCTTGGAGCCTTTGCACGTTGACCCGCAACTGTATTCCTTGAAGCCTTTGCACGTTGATCCGCCACTGCATTCCATGGAGCCTCTACAGGTTGACCCGCCACTGCATTCCATGGAGCCTCTACAGGTTGACCCCTCACCGCATAATTGTCTCCAGGTGCATCCGCCACTGCTGAAGCCGTCACTACTTTCCCGCTTGGGGGAGGACCCGCCTCTTCATTTTTTGGATCCTCTTCTTCTGAAGCCGTCGCTACTTTGCCGCTTAGGGGAGGATCCGCAGTGGTCGGTGTTGGAGCCGCTGCAAATTCCGTCTCATTTTTAGAAGAAAAGGGTACATTGCTGGAAACAAAGCCAGGAATATAAGGCAGACCACTGGGTTTAATCCACAAATTTCCTTCAAAGAAATTGGCTGGTGTAAATCCTTGAGCTTCTTCCTGAGAAATGTTCTTTACTCCTTCCCATTTCACACGCCCCGTTTTGTTCGCACCAGGGCCTTGGTTATTAAACTCCGCGTAATAACATGTCTTGATTCCGAATTCGCCATCCCAGGGCAACCATCCTTCAGGTTGAATCAAATCATCGATTAAAGTCTCCATAATAATCGTTCTTGAATGGGTTCTCCAAGGTCTTCCAAGATACGACTTGATTATATTCCGGACTGGATAGTACTCCGGGTCGGCGACGATTGAGCCGTTCTGGATGACGATTGCGGTCGGCTGGTGAGTCCAGTTGCGGCCCTGGGCGGTAACAATGCAACGCTGGTTGTCCATGGGTTTGCGAACGGTGAATTTACAGTTTTGGAAGACGGCAGAACCGTCACCAAAGACGAAATCGATTGTGCCTGAGATCTTGCAGTCGCGGTAGAATTGGCGCTTGGCGTGTGCATAGAGTGTGTCTTGATATCCATCCATTGAGCAGTTGTAGAAGATCGACATATCGGCTCCCACCCTCAAGGCCACTGCTTGATGTTTAATGGCTCCTGCAGAGTTCTCAAATCCAATGTTCTTCGCCATGAAATAATCCCCTAGAACAGCTGCAATATCATTCAAATCGATCATTGTTAGCCAAATTTTTAATGTTAGATGATTGTGAGCTGTTTGATTCGGTTTATTTATCAACTAAAATTTTAAATAAACTATTTTACGATATAGGAAATACGTTGCTTCTTCCATGAGCTGTACCAAACAGTCCCTGATGTCTAAGTGAATATGTAACTTACTGACTGTGGCGGTTTGCACGGTGGGTGTGCCATCGACAAAGTTCAAACTTCCGGTGATTCTGGTCTTTTCAGCACCATCTCCGACCATGATCACTTGGGTATAAGACTTATTGAGGAAGATTTTCTCTTCATAAACTCCCTCCTTGATGTATACGACAGTTCCGTTTTTGGTCTTGTCGGGAATAAAGTTTATTGCTTCATTAATGGTGGTAAAATTCCCACTTCCATCCTTGGCTACAACAATGTCAGCCTTGAGTTGAAGCGGTTCATCCAAAGCAGCAAGTCTCCGTCTTCCTTCAAGATCATCTTCAAGCCACACAGGATAATTATCGCCATGGCCAAGCACAGGAAAGTTTGTTTCAAGGAGGCGGCGACTTCCAACGCTATCATTTGTATGACCAATGTTCAATGATCGAAAAACCGAAGACAATTTGCTCACCATAGCAATGGCATTCACACTGAGTTCAATTGAGGTCTTCAATGCCTTCTTCATTTCCTCTCCGGCATTCCCAGTTGTATTTTCAAACCCATCCAGGCAAGTTTCCTGGTAAGTTATTGTGGCACTCAGCCATGTCTTCAAATTATCCATCACCTTCCCAATCCTCTTGATTCCAACCTTTTCTAACGACTTAAATGAGCGTTCGAAATCATCACTGGCGTCATCCATTAAATCTTTACAACCCTGGAGAGCTTTCTGAGCTCTGGGGTCTTTTTCAAGCTCTTTAATCGCGGTGGCACTCTTTGCAGCTTCCTCAACGCCTTGTTTCGCGACCTTGAAGGCAATTCCGATGAGTTCTTTGGGATCAGTTGTGTTGTTTCCGGTGGCGGATCTAAGGCTATCAACACATGTTTTCTGAAAATCCGTGGGTTGACAAACGGATTTGATGGCTTTCATTTTGGCTGACACTTCAGTGCGTTCGTTAACTTCAGGTGATTTACGTCGTCCATCTTGAGAAATACCGCCATGACTGACGGCGATGGTGACGGCAACTACCATGGCAATCATGAGGACACCTGAAGTGACCATAACAGTCAGCTTCTTCTTCTTGTCTCTATCATAATCCTCATAATAAGAAGACATTGTTCACCCTAAACAATCCTAGGAAAATAAAAAAAGGATGTTAATAGTACTGCTATAAAGCTTGAATTAAGGGGCCATGGAGAGTGTTAATTTATAAGAGAAAGGGTTAAGAAATGGTTTAAGGGTTTTAATTGTTATATAATTAGTTACAAATTTTGAGGTTAATTGAAGAAAAGAGGAGCCAATTTTCACCAAAATTAGAAAGAGTAACTGATATTAGCTAGGAAGAGCAATCTCAATCTACAACTCTGGCTCTGCCCAAAGCTTAACTAAATTTTTAATTGCCTAATTTAATTATATGAAACATGCTAAGAAAATCAGTATAGTTTTAATGTTAGAATAATTTGTTTACTTTTAATTTGGAGTAAACGACTTTTTTCTTTTTCACCCACATACTTTTAAAATACATTTTCCACCAAAAAAAAAAATAAATAAATAAATACTTTAAATGACACTTTCCCATCGACCCCGCTAATTACCGGTTGATTCCGACATCGTTGCGACTCCACATCACCATCATTCTCTTTCATGATCATCATTCAGCAAAACCTCTCAAACCTTACTCCTGCTATTTCCGCCAATCATCGGTAATCGAGCAATTAGAGGTTGCGTAGCCACCTCTCCCAAAATCCAACCTTCCTCCACTAAAAGACTCACCAGTCTTCCCTTTTCAAAAGCCCCAATAGCACAGACTGATTTTGCTCTCTGTTAGCCGCCAAATCGGAAAGTATATTTTTTTGGGTGGGAAAGTGGTTTTTTAAAAATCAGTGGGTGTGAAATGTCATTAAACTATTAGTTGAGTGGGAAAAATTCGTTAACTCTTTAGTTTGTTTTGATTGAATTTGGTTTTTCTTTTATTCAACAAGGATAATGTTAAAACTAATAAATTACAATAAAATAAAAGCAGTTATAATGTTATTTAGAAAAGAAATAATTTCACATATAATCATTTTTCTTAATTTTAATTCTCAAAATTGTCGAATGATTGCTGAAAGGGAAGATTTAGCCACAAAAAGTATATTCCAGTATACTTTAATTAGACTGTGAAACCATACTATTAAACGCTAGACTCGAGCTAAAATATTGAGTCTAGCATGGTTTAGCATTACATATTAGTAATATTGTATATCATTTGTCGCTTCATTAAGATTATAATTGGTAAGTCATTGAATTTTATGTTTGAATTTGTATTTTTTTAAAAATCTTGCACATTTTAGAAAATTATGATATATATATATTCTTAAATGAGTATATTAATTAGTACGATTCAGATTATTGAATGGAGTAGAGACGAAGAAAATTGGTATATAAAATTAAAGTTTTAAATACAATTATTTACTTTATTTAGAAAAAAGAAAGCATATTAAAAAAATTATGAAAATGCATTTAGTTAAAATGTGTTCATTAATTTTTTAAATAAAATTCAATGGAATTAATTCAATTCAACACTACTTTAAATATTTCTCTTACCATTTAGTTTTATATACTGTATCTTGCTTATTAATTATTAATTAATATTGGTGTTAATATATATATCTTGCAGGATTAGGCTTAATTAATCCACATCTCATCCACAATTATATCTTTTAATAGGAGTTTAAGATAGACAATACTACACTTACAATCCCATTTCACAAACTTTCTCTTAGAGATGAAAATTATATTCAGATTTCTAGGTATCAAGCCCGACCCGGCCTGTACGGGCCGAGCATTACCTGTTGTTTGCGAGGATGGACATGGGCTTGGGTATGGTTTTAGGGTTCGCCTCCAGGTATGGTTTGGGCCCAAAATAGCCATCGCAAGGCCCGACTCAAGTTTTTATCATTTAAAATTAAAATTTGATTTGATTTGATTATGATTTTGAAATGCATTTATAATAATAATTAATTGCAATTTTAGTCAAACCGAAAATCCCTTATCCACCATATTAATCAATGCACACAAAAAATGTGGTAATTAAGGCAAGAGATACTATCAATTAAGTTAATATAAGTGACAAAGAAAAATATATCAAAGATTGCCCATGAAAAAATAAATTATAAAAATTAACATGGGTCATAACTGGAGTCACAAAAAGTCCATCGGGTCGGGCTGGGCATTACTCGACATCCCCATAATGAGCTTGACCCGAGTCCAAGCCAAGGTCATGGGGTCAGGCCTACGCCCAAGCCAAGGGGTACCCGGTCCTGGCCTGGCCCACTATCATCTCTACTTTCTCTCACAACTTAACGTGGCAACTCGCAATGAGTCTCGCCTATCCCACAATAAGTCTCCTCTGCCCCATTGTGAACTGTCACGTCGATATTGTAAGAGAAAATTTGTAAGATTGGGTTGTGAATCAATCTTTATTGGTTTAAGATTTACAATATATTGTGTGTCCAAATCAAACTTCTCTCTTTCTATAATATTTTTACTATTTATTTAGTAATAAATAATTAACCACACATATATTCAATTAATATGTACGTTTACTCTCAACATTAATTTCACATGCACTATATAATTAATCACCTAATTATATGATCTCCTTCCATAATTAAAAATAAAATTCAAAATTAATTAAATACAACATCTCTTGTGATTTCATAATTTCATTCCATAATTGAAAATGTAATACTCCAATAAATATAACATCTCTTTTCATGTACCTTTTCAAACTCAAATCTCCATGCCCATGGCAACCCTAATTTCTTCCAAATTACCATCCCCTTCAGAAGAAGTTGTTGATGAATCAAACCAACCCAAATCAGATTTAGATTTTAATCTCTTGTTTAACCAAAAGATTGCTGCTAATGAAGATCATTCAATTAGTGGTGGTGCTGAAGAAGTTGAACTCAAACTCTTTAGCAGAAAGCAACCCAGAAAAAGAGGTTTCTCATGCAACTTCTGCAACAAAATTTTTCCCACGTCACAAGCCCTGGGAGGACATCAAAACGCGCATAAACAAGAGCGGGCAATTGCAAAACGACGTAAGGATCAGACGGAGATGGGATTGGAGACTCTAGGTCATCGTTTCTCTTATTATCCTTATAGTAATTCAAGTTTTACTCGTCATCAGATCCCTGTTTATGGATCTTACAATAATAGATCATCACCACTTGGGGTCAGTGTGCACTCTCATATGATTCGAAAGCCCGCCGTGGCTGCTTTTCCGTTGGTGTCACTCCGAGATCGGTTTGGTCATGGCGAAGGCTTGATGAATTCATCAAGGCTAGCTAATTATTATGATGACAAACTCAGGCTATTGCAGCAGGCTCACAAGAGTCCATTACAAAGTGATCGTGATCAAGATGATTCACTAGGACTAGATTTATCTCTTAAGCTTTAGATAATTGTTATAATCATGTTTTAGATTATTCCAAGTATTATGGTTATTGTTAAGGGTTAATTTCTTTGAATAATTAATTAACTCTCCCCTGTTAATTTCTTTAATATATTATGGTTAATTGGTTATCAATGTTGGATATGATTAATACTTGGCTTACGGATTATCGGCTTATGCTGATGTACTCGGAAGTCTATTATATACATATTGTAATAATGAAAAAAAAAAAAAAAACCTCTCCCCTTGTAGATGTATGGTTGACCCTTTAGCCACTAAGTTATCAATGTTGAATTTGGTTTTCCTTTTATTCAGCAAGGATAATGTTATTACTAATAAATTACAATAAAATGAAAGGAGTTATAATGTTATTTTGAAAAGAAATAATTTCATATATAATCATTTTTACTAATTTTAATTCTCAAAATTGTCAAAAGATTTCTTAAAGAGAAGATCTGGCTGTAAAACAACATGACTTAATCTAACACTTAATAAAAATAACCGGAATGCGCTGACTACCACGTCTAGCATGTCTAGTATGTTTAGTAGTAATTAGACTATAAACTCATATTGTTAAACACATACTCGAGCAAAAATGTGAGTCTAGCATAGTCTAGCATATATATTTGTAATATTGTTGATCATTTGTCGTTTCATTAAGGGTATAATTGGTAATTCATTGAATTTTTGTTGAATCGTATTTTAAAAACTTGCACATTTTAGAAAATTGGAATATATATATATATATTCTTAATGAGTATATTATTAGTATTTCTTACCATTCAGATTATTGAATGGAGTAGATAAAGAATTGGAATATAAAATTTTAAATACAATTATTTACTTTATTTGAAAAAAAAGTATATAAAAAAAATCATGAAATGCATTTAGTTAATGTTTCATTAGTTTTTTATATAAAATTCAATGGAATTAATTCAATTCAACCCTACTTTAAATATTTCTCTTACCATTTGATTTTATATCCTGTATCTTGCTTATTATTATTATTAACTAATTATATATATAATATATATAATATTATAATATATATATATATATATATATAATATATATATATCTTGCAGGATAGGCTATTAATCGCATCTCATCCAATTTATCCATGCGAACCCTAAAAAAGCTAATGTGAGAAAAATTATTGAAAGGAGAGTCGTCACTACTATTGTATTGTTTTAGATTTCTAAACTCGTAAAATCGTTCATCTTAAATGCTAACATAGTTCCTTGAATTGAGAACAAACCAGGTAATTGTGTGTCTTTTTTTTTTTACTTTTTTGTTCATTATTTTGTGTGTTTTGGTCTTATTTTTCAACAATTAAATATACTTTTAAACTTAAATTCATTTTCACTTTACATAATGATATATAGAGTGAAATAAAAATAATTAATAATTAATATTAATACAACAATATACATATTGCTAATCCAAGTTATCCATGTGAACCCTCAAGCTTATTATAAATCGATAAAAAAAGGTGTTTGAATTGTATAACGAAAAAAAAAAAAAATTATTAGTACACAAAACAATGTCCAAAAATATATCACACAAAAACAAATAAAAATAATTAATAACATCATCAATAATGCCATTCATTATGCAATAAACCAGCCTCGAAGGCACTGTTGCAGGCAACCAAGACTTTCATGGATGAATTTTGACACAGTGAAGTTCCTTGCAGTTTCCGTTTTATTTATCACATGGTAACCTGCCCATGTAACTCTTCCTGTTGTGTTTGATCCAGGGCCTGTGTTGTTGTATTCTGCATAATATGAAGTGTTTAATGCATAATCTCCTGACCATTCTTTCCACCCACAGGCTCAATCAGCTGCCGATAAACGACTGCATATAAACAGTTCTTGAATACTGCTTCCAGGGCCTTCCCAAGTAAGTTTTGACTGAATAATTACTGGAGACTAAATCACCGGCCGGCATTATGGTACAATTATGGATTGAAATGCCTGTGTTTTGGTTCGGATCGTTTCTACCCTGTGCAGTAATGGCATTGATTGATTTTCCAACGGGCGTCGCGGATATATTTGCAGTTCTGGAAACGACAGCTGCATTACCGAAAATGAAATCAACTGTGCCATATATATCGCAGTCTCTGTAGAATTGCCTGAGGGAATGTTGTGTATAGGTGTCTTGGTAGCCTTCAAAACTGCAGCTGTAGAATGTCGACATGTCTGCCCCTTTTCGGACGGCGACTGCCTGGCTTGATTGCCCCGGCTGTGTTCTTAATGTTATGTTCACTGCAACAAAGCCTTGCCCAACGACAGCTGCAATTGGAATAATTTTTCTTTATCATGAAGCTGGAAGAGTCGATGTAATCTATTGGGCTATATAGTTGTATATGAAGATGGGCGAAGCCCAAATAGGGACAGACTCAGAATTTTATGACAGATAAACTCTGAAGTGGGTAATCAGCCCCCACTCGCCTTCGTCCTTGAACCCAACATCACCTTCAACCTACGAGTTTATATATATATATATATATATATAAACATGAAATGAATCTATTTAAGCTTTGAACTTACCAAATGTTGCAGAGTTGAAGGTAGTCCACCCATCAATGACACTTTTATTGCCAGTAATCACAGTTTGGTTGATGCCATCTCCAATCATCATCACGTACTTCTTGTTCTTGGCAATGGAGACACACTCTTCGTAAACCCCAGCAACCACGTAAATCAAATAGTATCCATAACTCCTCTTAGTATTATTCGGAGCTGCAGCCACTGCGTCATTAATGGTCACAAAATCTCCATATCCATATTTACTCACAACCACAGTTTTGTTCACAACAACACGGTTCTCGTCACTTTGAGACAGCTTTCTTCCACTTACAGACTCGTAAATTTCTTGATCCCTCACTGACATTCTCAAAGGCAATCCATCTTTCATATCATTCTTGAAAATGTGCTTTCTTTCAGCTAACCATCTGCCTTTCAATATTGAGCTATGAACCCAACCATGGCTGAAGAGCGCCAGAGAAATACTGTAAAATTTTGCTCCATCAACAAGAGATGGCAGAAGAGCGTTCTTCACTGTTGAAGCTGAAGCTATTTCATGAAGACTTTCTAAACAACTTTGATGGTTTGTCAAAGTGGCACTTAACAAAGTCTGAGAATCCTCAGCTTGCAGACCGTCAAGAATGTCTGAGGAATCAATAAATTGAGAAGTATACGTCAAGAAATCGATGTTAAGTGAAGCTAAAAGGCGGCAATCTTCGAGGGCACGACGGTTGGTTGAGTAGGAAGTTGACGGGAGATTGAGAAAGTATTCAACAAAAGAAAGAACCTTTTTAGATTGTGACAAAGACTGGTGCATGAAAATGCGACCAAAATCAAAAATGGTGCCTGTTTTATGGTTTAAAGTTGATTTACAGAGGTCTGGATATGGCGTGAACTTGTTGCAAATGGATTCCGATGAGTCAGAGTAAGAGAAGGATGAAGAATGAGAGAACGAGGATGATGATGAAGAGGGTAACCAGCTGGACAGAGATGGAGAAATGAAGAGAATGAGAAAGAGAAAAAGGGTATGCAAATTCGATGATTTTGAAGCCATATTCATCATGAAAAAATTGACTCAGAAAATAAGTTTTGTATGTAATTAAGCCCTGTATATAAATAAACTTGTTTTGGGCACATGAAACTGATAAATTGTGATCTCATCTTGGGAAGGTTGTGTGAGAAATATTTCTCATTGAAATGGAGAAGAACGTGCTCTGCAATAAGGTTTGACTAACGAAGAATAACTTGATTGCCACCATTATTTTCACGTCTGATTTTTGCTTGGACGGCAAAATCAAACATCACATATTGCAGCCAACAACAGGGAAAGCAACTATCCATTCATGTGGGATCTTTTTCTTTGCGTTAAGTCTTAATTGGGACCAATGTATCACGTTACTTGTATACTTTATTGAATACAAATTTATTGTATACGACTAATTTTCATGATAACGTTTGATAGTTACAAAAGAATATCACGTTAATCATATATTATGTTCGAGGTGAATCGAACATAATGACTATCCTCAACTAATCCTCTGGGTTTTGAAGTTAACAGTCGAATAAACCTCCAATGACTATTCTTAGTAGCAACCGAGGTGAATCGAACTTAGGATCTTTTGAATAATATCACAAGAGTCCATATTCAACTACTTAACCACTGAAGGGTAATTTATATGTTCTAATGCTCATGATGGTGTTTAGTTGCGAAAAAAAAAAAGAAAAAGGACCGTATATGACAAATCACTTTAGTATTTTACTTTACTGGTTTATTTTTTCCAATGAAAAATTATTCTATACATACTATTTTTTATGATGGTGTTGAACAATTGCATAGGGAACTTTGCTCCTTTCAATATTCTGTTGCCTACAAATCTTTAAAGAACCAAGTCAAGACTAGATTCTGGATTCTGATATATATAAATACAGCTTAATAAAATCTAATAATTTAAGGACGAAGATCTTTTAGAGTTAGTGGGATCCAAGTTTAATTACAGGCCCTTGTACCTAAATCAATATTGGGAAAAAGTCCTAGAATTTAAGGGCCCGAAGTGAGCAATCTGGATTTCAATACGCTTGCAATCTTTAATAAAATCTACAGAAGCATGATGATTGAGCAGAAATTTTTATGTTAAATGATTCACTTTTATTTAACAGTAGTACTACAAACAAATAGGATACCTCTAGTCAAATAAAAATATATATACATCAATACATCGATGAAGGGGCCAAAATGAATCCCCTTGTCAGGCAGGACCGTTTAATTGCCCAAATTTGCTTTGAACTTGATTCCGGTCGCCGGCAACCACGACATGCCATCGATGAACCGGCTGGCAGTGAAGTAGTTTGCAGTGCGAGCATCTTTAATGATGTGATAACCAGGCCATTTGACCCGCCCCGATAGAGATGCACCAGGGCCATAATTCCTATACTCACCATACCACAATGTGTTCAAAGCAAAGTTTCCGTACCACTCAA